AACTATTTGTCCAGAATGAGCAAATCATAAAAAGATAAAGGCACATATATGAGTAAAAAAGTAGAAAAAAATTTCGATATAAGAACGAAAAAATGGAAAATAAATCAAGGAAGATTTTATTCAAAAAGACCTTGCTGCAAAGAAGATAGTCAAATGATAGTTAACAATAGACAAATAAAAAACCAAATCCAACGGCGTTAAAACATTGCATAAAGTAGTAGTGTAATGTAAATAGCAAACGTGAGCTAAGTAGTATGGACATTGTATCCTTTAAATAGATACTGGAGGCACCAGCAATCAAAAAATAATCACAGTTTAAATAGGCAAGTCAACAGCCCAAACAAAATCAAATATGCAACAATTTGGATTAAACAGTCAAAAATAGGTTGCAACATTTTGATAAAAATTGACCTATAAAGGACTATTTTCATTCTGAGAAGAGTAAAGCATACATTATAAAAAACTAGCTGGCGAGAAAAAGAAGTATAAGATACAGTTAGAAGAGGAAACAAGAATTAAGCCAAACTGAGGAGCAAATGAATCTGAATGGGAGCCAAGTCATACCGAAATAAAAATGTCAAATTGACGGGATTCTAGAAGCGTTTAGGCTTCCAAGTTAATTGCTAATTTAACAAATTTGAAAGAGCAATCGAGTAGGAATTATAAATATAAATGAATGAAAAATAAATTATAAAAATATAATAGTTATATTAGCTGAAACTTTTACCTGAATGAGTCTAAGAATGGCTGGGGAAAAAAAGTTAACCAAATACTTGATAGGTATAGAGACATCACAAGAAGGCAGCTAAAACAATAGTAAAACCACGCAAAAATATAGTGCTTATGTAGGAAAAGGCAAGAAAATATATCGAAAGGGCAAACGTGTTTTATATAAATTAATTTAATTAGTTGTTTTGAATATTTCTTGAATACACTTCCTTTAAAGAATTAGATAATAAAAATAAACATGCATTGGATGACATAAAAAGAAACTCACATATTATGCATGTTGAGAGAACAAATTTGTTTGAAGAAAGAAGATCAACTGTTTGGTGATATCTTAAGTCCCTAACCGCAACTTAGCCAAAACGTAACGATCTCTGGCAGTCAAACCTTTCATTAAAGAAACCACGAATGCCATATATACAGATAATCGTGTCTACGAAAACTCTGAAGATGGAAGTGAATGCAAACAACTTGAAGCAGTGAAAGTTTATAAATTAGCTAGAGATGCGTAGAGGAAGGTTAAGTTTGAATTAAAAATTTTGTATACATGCATTGACATGAATTAAATGTATATTTTAAAGGCATTCGTATCCGGGTCAAAAAACCCCTCCGATCTAGGAGTCCATGATAGACACCTTTGCTAGGCTAGTCCTTATGAAATGTATCTTGCAAAATCTGAGCAGCCTCCGCCTGATGAAGCTCTCCTATACCGACAGCAGGCACCGCCAACTCACCACGACCAGCAAAATCAAGATGGAGGCCGAGGTAGTTGCGGATGCGCGTAGAGATAAAGTTCCAGGCCCCCATATTACGTGGTTCCTCCTAACAATTCAAACGAATATGCAAATAGGTACAGTAGAGAAAGTGTTTCTAAAATAAAATATACATTTGTAAAATAACACTAATGGAAAGGACTATGAGCCTAAGATTAGTGGCGAGCAAAATGAAATGAACCTGTATGAACGACATAGGATATAATATCGCCTCTGATGCGCCGAAAAAATACATATATATATTAAAAATTTATTGCTGC